AGCAGGAAAAGGAAGATGAATTGTCCTGATTAGGACAGAGGACTTGGTGACAGAAGATTTGAAAAATGTCAAGGTACTAGTGTCTCTTTTTGCTTCATTTTTACTGGTAAGATTTGTCTTCTGCAGTCCCAGATCACCAAGATCAGTGTGAAAGGGTGGAGCAATGAATACATACCCTCAGTAGAGGTGGATCATACACATACTCATTGTTGATGGGATACATTCATGAGTGCTAAGGGAACTGGCTGATGTACTTGTGAGACCACTGTGCTTTGAAAGGTCATGGTGATCAAGAGAAGTTCCTGAGGACTGGGAGAAAGCAAGAGTTACTCCTTCCTTCAAGAAGGACAGGTTGGAGAATCTGGGGAGGTACAGGTCAGTCACCCTCACCTCAATCCCTGGGGAGGCAGTCGAGCAAATAATCCTGGAAAGCATTTCCAAACACATGAAGGAGAAGGTGGTGATTAAGAATAGTCATCAGAGGTTTACGGAGGGGAAAGCATGCGTAGCTGACCTGAGAGCTTTCCACAATGAGATGACTGGCTTGGTGGATGAGAGGAGCCATGGATGTGGTTTGTATTGACTTCATTAAGGCTTTTGATGTTGTCTTCCATAACCTCCTTGTGGGCAAGCTGATGAAGTATGGGCTAGCTAAATAGAACAGTGAGATGAATTGAAACTGCCTGAACTGCTGGACATGAAAGGGCTGTGATCCATGGAAAAATGTCCATCTCAAGGCCAGTCATTAGTCGTGTTCCCCAGGTTCAAATACTGGGGCCAGTACTGTTCATTAATGTTCTTCATTAGTGATGTATGTGCATGATAAAGCAGAGTGCGTGTTCGGCAAGTTTATGGCTAATGGAAAACTGGAAGGAGTGGTTGACAGACCGAATGGGTGTGCTGCTGTGCAGAGGGACCTTGACAGAGTTGGGAGAGTTGGAGAATTGGTCCAACAGGAATCTCATAGAAGTCATAAAGGGAAGTGTAGAGTCCTGTCCCTGGAAAAAGTATAACCCCATGCACTAGTGCACACTGAGGGCAGCAGGAAAGCAGCTTTTCCAGGGGTGGACAAGTAGTCGACTGTGAACCAACAATGCAGCAAAGAAGGTCAAAAGCATCCTGCAATGCATTGGGTGTTGCCAGCTGGTCAAGAGGGTTGATTCCCCCTCTTCTCAGTACCAGTGAGAACACATCTGAAGTGCTGTGTCCAGTCCCGGGTCCTCCAGTAAAAGACAGATATGAACATACACGAGTGAGTGCAGTGGAGGGCTACAAAGATGATTAAGGGATTAGAACTTTTGGCATAGGAGAGGCTGAGAGAGCTGTGACTGTTTGGCTGAAAAGAGAGCAGGCTCGGGGCTGGGGGGTTGTTATCAATATGTATAAATACCTGATGGGAGGGAGTAAAGCAGACAGAGCCAGGCTCTTCTCAGTGATACCCAATGAAAGGACAAGAGGCAATGGACACAAATTAAAATAATTCTAGCACAAAGAAACCCTGTTTCACTGTGAGGGTAGTTGAACTCTGAAAGAGGTTGTCCAGAGAGATTGTAGAGTCTCCATTCTTGGTGATATTAAAAACATGTCTGGGACACTGGACTAGATGATCTCAAGCTGTCCCTTCCAACTTGAACTATTCTGTGTTTCTAATAACACCTTGTGCATATGATTTTTACATCTGCATATGCTTGTGAGTTCTTAAAAATGTTAGTGTTCAAATACTCTGCAAAGGTGGATGTTTTAAAATTTAATGTGAACATATTTTCTTCCTCTTCTGAATTTAAAACTTGATTTTATGTCTTTGAATGTATATACTTTCATAAATCAGTGCCATTTCATAAGGCTTATTACGTCACTTGTAAAGTGTCACTGTGTCTGAGTAGCACTATTGTAATAACAGTCTAAATGTAACAGTAATGTAAACCAGCTTTCTGTCGTTCCCTGTAGTGTTGTGTGTTTTATTTAATCATGGTGACTGTGTTGATTGACCTTTCAACATTTCGCCTTTTTCCTGAGAGGTTCCAGCTAGTTAGGAACAAACACACAGGTGCATGTGCAGGCACACAGGTTTTATTTTGTCTTTTCTTGCAATATGTTTTATATTGCATCTTTACTTTCTAGTATGGACAATATTCTAGCTCTGTTCTGTATATTTTAATGTTTAGTTCATCCCAAATAATTAATTTAGAGTACTACTTCCTTTATCTTTTCTTCATCTTCATTTGTTTCTTTCTATAAGTTACTGTATTTAGAATAAAAAAAGAATCTTTTTTATCTATAGAGTTGAAGGAATTTAGTGTTATTTTATTTGAAGAAAGTTATTTTTTTCCAAACACCCCTCATTGATTAAAACAAAACAAAAATGCCTCACAACCCCATCCAAATTCTATCAGCTCTTCACTGTGTTTCAGTACTTCTGCAACTTTGTGTGGTAGCTCAGAGCTTTACTTTCATATGAAGATAGAGTCCCCCTCTATGAAGAAATTAAACAGATAGAAAATATTCATCTCATCTTTAAAATCAGAGATACTTTCTTCTTTATTCAAAATGTTTTTGGCTTTGAATTTTGTTCGGTGGGAAACGTGAGAATCATTTGAGATGCTCAGGAATGTAAAACTGAACATGGGAAAATATTGATGCAAACACGTTCTGCAGATAATGCATAGATGAATTTGATCATAGTTATTATAACCTTACTGTTTTCATAACATACATATATGTGTCACTGTTAAGAGCAATGAAATAAATACAAGTTCATATTTACATACAACTTACTTCCTTTGTCTTGGTAAGTTGTTTGCAAGTACTTTCCAAAAATTGGTCACATTGAGGTAGATTTTGAAAAATATACCACTGTTGTCGATGTCCATGAAATTATTTGACAGTGTTTTTGTACATTGTTATAGGTGACAGAGGTTTCTCCTAATGTGACTAAAAGCAGTCAAGCAGAAAAAGAAGGTCGTGTGCATCAGTGTTTTGAGTGTAATCAAACCTTTTCTTCAGCCACCATGTTGATGCACCATAGTAAAGAGGTTCATGGCAAGGAAAGAATACACGTTTGTCATGTCTGCAATAAAGCCTTTAAGCGGGCAACACATCTCAAGGTATTTGGTAATAACAGTTGATTATTCTGTTAACTCCTCCTTTTGTTTTCAATTGCTTGCAGTATTAATGAAAGATATCTATTACCCCTTTACCTTTCCTTTTACAGTGTGAGAGGTGTGCATCTGAGAAAGGGAGTCCAGTTTTACAATTAGGCTTATTCAGGTGCTGAGTAGGATTACCTGTGTATCAGGCAAGGGAAGGAGATGGATACTGTAGAGGGGAGGGAAAAAATACAATATTAACTTCCAGTGCATGGTTGTCCCAAATCCATGATTGTACATGAACAAAGCACTTCAAGGGCTCTGTTTTTTTTAATTATTTATTTTATTTTGTTTCAGATAATTAGTGAAGGGACTAATGTAAGCAAAAAAAGCAATGCATACAGTTATTGACAGAGGTTTTCAGAAATGTAAAGGTACTGATGCATTAGTGTTACAAAGAGTTGATATATAAAAACAATCTCTTATTTAAAAGAAAAAAAAATGCAGGCTTCCATCTTTTTACAGCTTGTCCGCTGATGACTGAAATCCATTGCTTTTGTCTTCAAAGTGTGAATATATTTCTATGTTAAATACTGAAATTTTTAAAATTATCTGAAATGTATGTTTTTCTATGCTGAATTAGGAACACATGCAAACCCATCAGGCTGGACCTTCACTGAGTTCCCAGAAGCCTAGAGTGTTTAAGTGTGATACTTGTGAAAAAGCTTTTGCTAAGCCAAGTCAGCTGGAGAGGCATAGTCGCATTCACACAGGTAACACCAGAAATCATTTTTATCTCACAAAATTTTCTCATGAATATATGGGTGTTATATTTGGAGTCCTTGCTCATGGTTTTAGATAACTGCATTCAAATATCAACTTAAGCTTAAAAAACACCCAAAAAACAAAGAAGTAAATTTCTAACCCAAAGAGTTTAGAAATTAAAATAAGGAACAGCAGACTTGAAATCTCAGAAACTGTGTTGTTTTGTTTAAAGCCAGAACATCACGCTTAGTGGTGTGACTAAGCTTCTCTGTATTTTAGGGCTAGCAGTTCTGCAATGGTAATGTGATTTCATGAGCTTGTAACTTAAAGTCTAAAAGTCTTGGAAACAGATTAATAAAAGCATATTTTAAAGCATTGTTTAAAGTGGTGTGAAGACACTGGATGTGATCTTCTTCAAGTATAGAGGACATGCAAATGGGTGGGTGTGCTCAGTAACATTAAATAAGGAACAGTCTTGACTGCTGATACTGCTGAATGCAACGCTTCATTGTCATTTAGCTACTTACTCAGTTCATCTGTTTCTAATGGCAATGGTTTTAAGTTATTGTGTTTCTTTTCTGCTTAATTACTTTCTTCAACTGTTACACTATAAAAAGATGATACTGATTTCCAGGGAGCACACATTTTCTGTCATAAAAGTGCATCCAAGTTGCAGCTTCAGCCCTGCTACAAGTTGAAAGCTATACTTAGGATAGCCCAACTGCCTTCCCCTTCACCTTCTGTATCTTAAGAACAGTGTTCATAAGAATATTATTTCTAAATATAGGAGTCGGTTCTCCAAGGCATCTTCTCTCTTTTCCATATCACTGCTACCAATAAAGAGCTGTCATGGCTGCTAGAGTTAAAAAGGACAGGGGAAAAGTCATCTGTGTTGCTCTTAAGCTGGAGGGGACCAAGGAATTTGACTGGATGTGCTATAGCATAAGACGACTCCCACAAAAGGGTAACTCTCTTTCAGTGAGTCAGCCAGAGCTTTCTCTTTCCCCAGTATTGACTTCTGGTAGTTAGCTTGTGGCTGCTCTTGTGGATTTAAAGCAAAGTTCCTAATCTCTTCCTTCAATTTATCTTGTTAACCCTGTTGTTTTTTCTTGGTTAGCATCACTAGCCGGTCTTGTGATGTGTAATCTGAGTTTCGTCTTTGAATGGACCTTCACTTTACACCTTCAGATTCAGTCTTGTGGTTTTAGTATTGCACATCTAAAGTATAGACTTACCTATACATCCAGGTGGCTTGTTCCTGTTCTCATTTCATTCATCAAAACTGTTTTCTCTGGCTTTGATGAACACAATCTTATATAAACACATGCACACTCTCACGTGCATTCTACTATGCTGTTCCAGATGTTTGGAAGGAATGTAAATGTTTATTCAGTAGTATCTTTGAATTCTTTTAATGTGTCTGCATATCATAGAATCATATCATAGAATGGTTTGGATTGGAAGGGACCTTAAAGATCATCTAGTTCCAACCCCCCTGCGATCAGCAGGGAATGTGATACCATCTGATAGGCTATTGGGACCACTGCCAGTATTGATAATTTAAATTATCTTAATGTGTCCTTATATACTTGTCTATCTGTTAATTTATTTTCGCTTATGTTTATGGCAAATTCTTAAAGGCAGGGTCTGTGTCTTTGCTGTTTTTTCATGAAGCAGTGAATACGGTGGAGTTTCAGTCTATCTGTAAGGCTGTGTACTGTGATGTTGCAAATTATAAATGATAAAAGGGGTTCCAGGGAAGATAGAGGGGGAAAAAAAAAAGTCAGTTAAACTGAAAACTTATTAAGATTGCCACAGTCTAGGGAACTGCTGTAACATCCCATATAGCAGTGGCCATATAGAAGAGTTGCTGTGAGGTGATGAATGACTCTGTCTTGCATTAGGGTTAAATTAGTTCATACTTACCATTGCACATAAGCAGATACTGAGACTTAACTAGTCAAGACAAGGTCATACTTTTTCTGTCTGTGCTTTCTTGATGGCTTTTGCAGTATATCATGAGTTTGCAAATAAATTAATATAGTCTGATACTTGTTTTACCATGGCAAAAAAGAAGAATTGGAGAATAACTATTCAGTGGTTCCAAATGTTTGTGGATGAATTAGATCAGACCTATACAATGTGCAGCCTGATGTGGTATTTTTTTATTTGTTCTGGTAAAATGAATTTGGCTCATTTTGATTGCCTGATTCAGCCCATTGTTCCTATACTGTCGCAGGTAAAGTAGGAGCAGTAATTGCAAGAGCTGTTGCACCTCACTTACTCATGAGTGTTTTGAGCTTTGAGGTGTTGGGGTTTGCTAGGCAGCTGAAAGCCAGAGAGGTCCCAGGTCCTGGCCCTGGTTTTTTTTCACATTTCATTCAGTTGCTGAGAACTCTCTGGGAAGAAGGGATAGGAGGTTGGGTAGAGGGGATTAATGAACTTGGTGAATTTATGGTTTGAGTTCTTTTGCTAAGGAAATGCGGAGATTTGAGAATCCTGAGAGGTTCAGACATGCTGCAATGGGAAGGCATGGATAGATAGGGGAGCATAAAAAGCAAGGGAAGGGATGAGATTCTGACGTATGAAGTTGTGAAATACTGCAGTGTGGGTAATTAGCATGGCAACTAGAGAGTATTGTAACAGGAGGGGAAGTTTTCAGAGCAAGTACGATAGGATAGACTTTCATATTAGTGAGGTGGGTCATCCACTTTCCGCAAAATTTAACGTCTGGTAGGTAAGCAGTAACTCTTGATAAGGATGGTGAGTATTTGCAGCCATTTGTCAGCTAGCAGCATTCATCGCTAATCAATTGCTGCTAGCTGCAATTACTGTACTATGAGTGTGTATAAGCTTGTCTTATAAGGGGTGTTCATACCAACTGGTTGAAGGTGGCTTCTTGTCTGAGTATGGGAGGAAGCTTTGATCTGATCTACTAGAGCTGTTTTTATGTTAGAGGTCTCTGCTGAGCCTGTGTATTCTCATCTAATGGGTTTACTGTTTGTGCTTCTCTTCCCTCTACCTCTTGCCTCAAGAGAAATGGTGACTGCTCTTCCTGAGAGTAAAACTGAAGAAGGGGAACAGAACTGCTTTGTGATTATTGTGGTAGAAGGGAATGTTCTGGTTATACTTGGGGCAGGAAAAAAGGCAGGAGTTACAGTCCAAGGAGATTAAAAAGTCTTTAGAATTTGTTAATAATTTGCTTTCTGCATAACTAAAATAATACAGACTTTTAAAAAAGGCAGTGTTTTAGTTAAGAGTTTCACAAAATAATCTGAAAGCTGGAAAAAAGGCCAGTTTCCCGTTTCTCTGCTTTGATCCATGCTGCCCATTGTAATAGAGAGCACTTCAGGAGAGCTGGGTACAGAGCAGAATCCCTTTATGCCTCTGCTTCTCATGAATCTGCACCATCATAGGAAAAAAATAATTCTATTTTGGAATGACTTGTAATTTACTCAGTAAATCCTCAGATATTTTTGGGTTTCTTGTACTTCGGTGATCATGTGCTAGGAATGCCCGCAAGCTGTAACAATCCTTGCTAAATTCATTTTTATATTACTGTTGTCTGACATTGTTGAAACAGCAAGTCTATCCACACAGTAGTCATTCCTTCAGAAGATAATGTTCTTCTAAAGATCCATTAAGACGAAAAGAGTGAAAATGTGCTGCACAGAAGTTTTTAGATGAGTGCTTTTACATAAACTATGATAGGAAAGGCTAATGTTAGTCTCACCTGATTTGCTTTCCTAAAGGTATGATCCTCGCCTGTGAGAGTGTTTGTAATTTTATCTTGATTAAACATTTTTAACAATTTCTAATGGGCAATACCTACTGAATCAGTGGCCAGAAGGAAAATATATTCTTTATCTGAATAGCTCTAAGTATCTTGTACATTTGGATTTACCAGTGAAGAGCAGTTTGGAGAAATGTTGCTGAAATTAGAGGGAAGCAGATGCTTCCAGTTCTACCAAAAAAACATGTGGTAATCCATTACACAACACCAAAAAGGCTGTTCATCTTCACAGAGTAGAAAACCTGGAGTCAAAAGTGTCTGAGGAAACCTAGATCTCACTTCAAACTAGTGAAATATTTTTTAACAAAAAGAGAAAGAAACTTCTGTGCTTTAAAGGACCTTTTACTGAGAAGTTGGATTTAGCATGGAAGGTACAGTGCATGTGGGGACACTAACATGCAGGTAATGAAAGAAGAGAGAAATTGGCCGTTCAAGGAGAATTGTGGAAAAATCTTTATACTCCTGCTTGTGCTTTATTGTGCTAACTAATAACAAAGTGTATTTGTAAGTTCAGAAAGTGCTTTTAGAAGTCCTTAATGACAGCAGTATGTCTTGTGTTGATGTTGGAGGCCTGGTTTTGCAACGTAGGTTTGTTTGTTGTTTTTTTTTTAATTTATAATGAATGTGTTCTTGAGCTTATATTTAGAAATTAGTAGTATTCTGGAAGATTTGGAACAATATGCCTGCTTTGGTAGGGTCTGGGAATCACTAGAAGCTTTTGGTGTAGGAGCCCACAGGTCCCATGAAGAATGACCAGAACTTTTTTTATTTTTTAACACATCCAACTTTCTAGTTTCTTACAGACAGCTCTGTTAATTCTAGAGTATTTATCTGCGTTATTTTAAATTATGTTAAAAGGTGATGATTCCTTGAGTACAGAAAAGTCAAACTGGTAAACTGATTTTTTTGCACCTCTATGAAATATTTTACTTAGGTGATAATTTGGATAGGAAAGATAACAATATCAGTGATTCAGAACTTACATAAATATTCTGACATTCAATTTGGGATGCTCTCCTGATAATATAGAGCCATAGCACTGTTTTGAGAAAGTGTCAAGGAAAAAGATTGTCTGCTTAATTTCTAGGTCTTGATGATTTTTACTGAATTCTGAACTCTATTTTCAAGTTGAAATGAGAAATTATTAAATACATTTTTCTCTTTAATAAGGGGAACGTCCATTTCAGTGTACACTATGTGAAAAGGCTTTTAACCAGAAGAGTGCTCTTCAAGTCCACATGAAAAAGCACACAGGAGAGAGGCCTTATAAATGTGATTACTGTGCAATGGGATTTACACAGAAAAGCAATATGAAACTGCATATGAAGCGGGCTCATGGTTACACAGGTATGTAGCATAATGATAGTAATGGTGAGTGCAGAAAGCCACATGCTTTACTAGGAAAGCAGAAAACACTTGCCTTAGTTATTGAGGAATTAGGCACTAATTGCCAAAGGCCAGAGTTGATAAGCTAGTAGTTGCTCATGCAACCCAAAAAGCAGGTTGAAACAGAAATTGGTTGCTTGGTTTTTTTTATGTGGAGCTTCGTAGTACAGAAATACAAAGCTCAAAACTTCTACAGGAAAACAATTGATTCCATTTTTTATTTTTTTTTTTAATTTTTCAAAGAACATCTCGTGAATCTACAGAGTCTGAAGTAGTTGCGTAATAATAACTTTCCCAGTGTGATTCCTTTGATTCCCAAGTGCTGTATTTGCATTTTTCTTACAGTATACATCAAATCATACTCACTCAACTTTTTCTCTTGTACTTTGGTAGGTCCTGTACAAGAGCCTGCTAGTCATCAAGAACAAGAAGGGGAAGATATTAGTCGTGCTTTGAATTTAGAAGAAGTGGTACAAGAATCTTCAAATGAATGGCAAAGTATAGGCAGTGTTTTCCGATGACACCTTAAAATTTGAAAGCTAAAAATGTTTCTGGGACTCCAATTTCTTGAAACAAGTTTTCAGAAAAGTAAAAGATGAATTTTACAGTTAAAGCTTCAAGCATTGAAAATATTAACAATAGAATAATATATTATAGTTTTTTTAATTATTTACAGAGTTACCTAAAAGATTCATTCTTTTTTTAAGCTTGTAGAAGAATATTGGGAAAACATCATTTTGTCTGTGAATCAGTGAACTCAGGTAATACTGTGTACAGTTTCATCTTCTAATTCACAGCCAGTTTATGTATTTGAAAAATAAACTGGAACTTTATATCAGAATAGAACGATTCCCATTTTTAAAGGAAGTGAAGAATAACTTTGTGGGAAAACCATGAGACTGTCGACAGGTCAACTTTCTTTTTTACATGTTTAAAAATGTAATTGAGATTGGAAACAAAATGTTAGAGAGTAGATGCATGCAATATAAAATAGGTGTGGATTTTTTTTTTTTTTTTTTTTTACAAAACAAAGCAAAATGCTTCATTTCTGTTTTAAGCTTTTTTTAGTACATTTTGAGAATTTGTTGAAAAAAAGAAAATGACATGAACTTAAGGCTTTTTTGAGTTAAACTCTTTGAGAGGGAGCATGTTCATTTCCATTCCAACCGCAGAGGCATTTAGTTTTTGCATTAGAAGTCTGAGGTTTTAAACTCAGCAATAATTATTTAAAGAGAATCCAAACTAGAAGAGGTTCCAATGAAAGCCTCTTCTTTTATGTTTGCTGTATTGGATCAGCAGGTACCTAGCTCAGTGTCTGTGGAAAACACAGCTATACACTAAATCTGGGAAGTAAACATACCATTTTGTGTTAGCAGTGAGAAAGTTAGATGCACGCTAAGTCACCTATATGACATAGTATGCCCCAGTGCTGTAAACAGTTATCATTTCAAATCTGTAAATTCCTCATTATTTTCTTTGTGAATTTTGGAAATATGTTACTTTTATTTGTTGTTGTTTAAGTCATTGTTTCAGCAAAACTACCTAGTTGACTAAGTAATGCTTTGAAAGGTGCCACTTGTTAAGTATATTCATAACAAAGAAACACTGGAGTAAAAACATAGTCATCTTTTAGACATTCCAAAGACAGAAGCTCTTCTCTTATTTTTACCTTGTTCTTTTGAATTTTATTTATATGTTACATATATATAGATATATATATATGTGTGATTTATGTGTATATATATATTTAAAGTTATATGAGCCTCTGTGTGGCTGATCAGTATATTTTGTAAATACTAATCCCAGTTGCAGGAAGTTCATCTTTTCAGTTTGCCTCAAGTACTTCCAGATCATTGGTGGATTTGTTGTACTATAATACAGAGCTGGATTTTAATTTACCTTCTGAAAGATAATTGCTCTCAGATCTAAAAAGCCCTTTTCTGTAAATATTGTCTATACTTTGTCTATGATACAAACTAGTTATTTCGGATTGCTGAAGCAAGAAGTCACTGTTGGTTTTGATAGGGCATCTCTTAATTCTTTCGTTAACTCTTTGGCGTATGTATATAAGTAATATAGTTGGTGACATGAAAATAACACTTTTGTTATGTGGAATATTTAATTCAAAAACATGTTAAATAATATTACTTTTTTCCAAATGCTGGTATTTTGTGTATTTTTTTAAGCATTTGATTTTGGATTCTAGGAAATTCTAAAAACTCCATTTTCCAGAAGTGGGTGTCTTAATATTATATGTAAAGAACATATGTGAAGTCCTTCCAGCAGTGCCTTTCCTTCCAGACAGCCTATTATCGTTTCAGCTGCTTAAGGCAGACATTGTATTTTACAGATGTCTGAAGGCATACTGGCCTCATGGCATAGCGCCCTGCTTATCTGTAATAATACAGTAAAATGTGCTGTGTTGCATGTACCAGGTATAAAATCTTTTCCCTCTACTTTCAGAGAATATTGTATAAATGCACAACAAAGTTTGGTGGGGCTGATTTGCTGAGTAGGGGATGATACTTTCCAGAAGTTACCAAATCCTGTTTGGCAGAGGATGGTTTACAGCTGGTCACATCCAGATGCAAATCCATCCTTCATAATGGGAACGTGATTCCTGAATGTTTGAAAACATTCAGTCTGCTTCAGCTGTGATTGCTTTGCCAGCAAGTAAAAACTGGTAGTGGTTGATACTCAGTGACCACGTGCTTAAAAGCTGATCTCATGAGTAAAAAGATGCTGTTTTTTTAAATGGTCACTTCTCAAAGTGTTACATCTTGATTAGAGGCAATGGGTATGTGTTGTAAGTCTTGGAAATGTTAAGTAAGCAGCAAGTTACAGACTCAGCTGCCACTTCTCCTGAATTCACTTTGCTGCTCCTCCAGCACTGGGAGTACTGTCAGTTACAGTAAATTTTTACTTTTAAAAAACTTTTTTGTAATGGTATTTTATTTACTTGCCTGCATCCTCCTCCTCCATGAACTTCAAGAACTCACTCTTGAGTATCGTGGCATAGAGGTTTTCATAGCCCAGTTTCCTTCGGAAGATCGCGTTGGAGGTTTTCAAAGCAGTGTGTCTGTTGATGTTCAGTAGAAGTACACACTGTAACCAGGATGTTGGTATTTTCAAAAGCAGTGTTGGAGTAGATGGATTTTTTTAGGAAGCAGAAAGACCTCTTGTTCTAAGGCCTGTTTGGAGAGTCACATTGTACAGCGGGAAGCGAACAGTGCTGAGAAATGCCTCTGTTCTTTCGGGTTTGATGCAGTAGAAGGTTTACGCTAGCCTCAGGCTTTTTGGCTTGTGTCTGCTGAAGTGTTTCTTTTGGTGGATGTCCATTCCTTCAGTACAAGAAATGGCACACGCCTAAAACTGGTTGTGCATTCTTGTTTCAGGAAAAATCCTTTGCTTACAAATCAAACAGCCATTTAAACTGCTGTTTTTCAGCAAAACTACTAGTGAATAATGAAAAGAATAAATTTCAGTCTCGGTTTTAAACTCTTTCAAGAGACTTCTTTTGGCAAAATAATGCTTTGTAGTACGGTACCTTTTCTTCTATAGGAAGGAAATCCAAAAAGGCACTTCCAGCCTCTGGAAGAGATGTCTGAGGGGAAAGCAGAACAATGAAGGCAAGGAGGTTTTGGATAAGCTCTATAGTTCTACAGTGCAGTATTTTGAAAGATTTATTTCTCGGGGTTTTTTTTACCTTAAATGTTCTTTCCCATCTTTGAAGGCTGCATTAAAAAGCAACTTGATTTTCACATACTTTGTTCAAAGAAGATACTTTGTGCTATAGTTTTTTATGAAGGATGGGATTTCATTGCTTGCATTTTATGCATTGCTGTACACCCCTGGCCTTTAGCTGCTGCTCCATGAAGACACTGGCCTCTCATGAATCCTGTGTCATATTGTCATCTTTGTGGGCCATGCTTAGTCACCAGCAATGTCACTAGAAGCCTGTGTACAGGCAACTGGGTCCTGGCTCCCAAAGTGTCATTTTCTAGTGTCTGAACATTATTCATAAATTGTGAAAAAAACACAGAACTTGTGTATGTGTGTGTGTATATATATATATATATATATATATATATGCACACACACACACACACATATATATATATGTAATCTTCTCTGTTGTAAAAGACAAAACTGGTACAAGTTTCATTTCAAGTTGATTACTTTATTTCAATAATGAATATTTTTAAAAGCTGTGTTCCTAGAAGAACACTACGTATTCAAATTAAACCAAGTATTATGTTGCAGAGTATACATCTGAATGAAGCTACAATAGAAAAATACACATAGCAACCACTGTAGGTAATACATGTGTGTATATGCTTAATATTTTGGTGTTTGTTTTTTTTTTTATTTACTCTGTATTTTCTATTTTCTCATCTTTCATTGCTTCATATTAATGGACACCGATTTAAACCTACAATAGATTTAGATGTGAAATACAATTAACATGCATATTTATAGGTAACTTTTACTGGATATTTATTAGGAATGCAGTTTCAACCTGGGAAGCATTAACTGTAGTCTACAATACACAGGCTAAAACTAAAAAAATAAATTAATCAGACACTTAGATGACAGCTTGAAGAAATGGTAAGTTTAAGTAATAAAACAGTGCAATTCAGAAGAGCCTTTTATTTCCCTAAGTGTGGTTGGAAATACCATTGCCACACATTCATTTTAGTAATTTGTGAACAATTAATAGCTAAATCTAGGTCAGCTATAATTTATTTCTATAAGGCAACTACAGTACAACAGTTAAATGTTCACAGTAGTTTACTATGAGTTTGCTTTAGTGCACTGCCCTTAATAGGCATCCAGATGTTACTGAGGCAAAAGAGCCGATCAAATATAACACTGCTGCAATACCAAGAGAAAGATTTGAAATTCTAACACAAGATGTGCAGGACTATCTGAGATACCAGTACTGAAGGGCTCTCTTTCAGAAATTAGACTTATTTGTTTATATATTTATTTACTTATTTGTTGTGCTGCAAAGTTAATGCTGTTGCAGCAGAGTTTGTGTGAAGCACCAGTGACGTCCAGTGGTCACTTGTGTAGTCTTAGATGTTTCTTCTCTGGGAATATCCCTTGTTTCTTAACATTAGTCTAACTCAAATTTGAAATCCTCTTTCTCTCCCTCATCTGCTCTTAATTCTAATGGTTTGGATGCGATGAGCAATTCATGGTATGGAAAGACTTTCCTTTAGTTCTGTTGCTCTGCATCGTATTGATTCTACAACATCTGCCCCCTCCCACGCTTCACATGCCTTGAACTCCCAATGTTTGGTAAACCTTTCCATGACTGCCTAATCCTGTTATGAAAATAAATTATTCTGTGAGTGAGAGAAGGAAGATTAAAACAAAAGAAAAACAAAAAAAAAAAAGAAAAAAAAGTATTTGGATAAACAGTCCTTACAACTTCTGCACATGGTGGATTTTTTTTTTTTTTGTCTCAGAAATACGTTAACAGCAGTGCTCAGTATTGCAGAAATTAGCTCTTTATTTGTAATTCTGATGCTCACTAAAACAAAACCAGAAGACTTGAGCTCAAATTAGATGCTTGGGAGAAATAATGAAGTCCAGCATACAGTTAGGGCATCCTGAAGAAGAATGAGTAAAGTCAGAGATCTTGTTACTTCACATAAAATAAGGAAAACATCTAGTAAAGCTACTTTTTGTGTTCCTTTCATTCAACTGTTGGTCAGGGATTGCCAATAGAAGTTTGTAT